ACTGGGACGTGGGCTGCTTTTCCGACTTCTGCTGGTCGGGTTCCAGGCTCGATCCTTGGTTCTGAAGTGTTAGATGAAAGCAGTGGAGGTTCCCTAGCAAATTAAGAAAAGCACAGTGCCTACTGGTAACTTTAAATTCAGATGATGTTCTTATTGCCACCTTAACTTTTCCTTTTCCTTTTCGGGATTTATGATAAGGAAATGATAGCTAGCAAGGTCTAATTATCTCCTCGACTTGAGACATAAGATCAAAAGAAAAGGGTAAGGTGGAAGTGAATGGGTGATTCCGTCATTCACCCCTTCAGCCAATACTTTGTCCATTGCTGGCTGGAAGTGCTACAGGAAGTTGAAAGGTGAGCTCGTGCCCTCAGGGGCCATTTTAGTCTAGTACAGTACTCGTTCATCAGTGGTCCCTGCATGGGCATCATCTGTATGGTGTTTTGTTTTTGAGACAGGGTCTTGCTGTGTAGCATAGGCTGGCCTCGAAGTTGGGTCACGATCCTCCTGCACAAGATCTTAGCCAAAAGGCCAAGAAGCGATGGGTCACGATCCTCCTGCCTCAGCCCCCTCACTGCTGTGCTTACAGAGTGCTGGGATTACCACACCCAGCGGCGGGTGCCCTTTGGAGTTCAGAATTTCAGGACTCTGTACTGTATTTTATTAATAAGATCTCCTGTGATATATGTGCTTAATAAGGTTTGCAAAAAACTGGTTGAGTAGGTAGAAAATTTAATGACTACAATGATCATGGGAGAGACCATGGGGAAGGTTCAAGAACCACGGATGTGCTGATTTTTAAAAATGTATTTATTTAGAATTGTATTTTGATCTCAGAACATGTTTTGTCCTTGGTTTTTGTGTATCAGAAGAGTCAGGCAGGTGATGATCAGCATTAAGAAGCCCGTCTCACCTGACCCTCTCAGACTTCAGATGCTTTTGTGGTTGAACTCAGTACAGTTTGTCTCCAGGCCTCTGCTAGTCCCTGCACCCTGTCAGCAGCGACGTCTGTGTGATCCACTTTGGGACTGAGGGCCACTGGCCCTGAATCGAGTGATCCCACGGGGCCTGAGCTGGGTGCCAGACCTGGTGGAGGTATGGGGTGAGCCACGGGAGTGTGTGCTTTCAGCCTCTCACCCAAGGGGAACAGCGTCACTGGTTCTGAGGAAAGGTGTTCGGCTTTACCAAAAAGGCAGCGCTGTTCTTCCTTTTCAACACTGTGGCAGGGATGAGAGCAACCTAAACACAGGACCGGCTGGAAGGGGCAAATAGCAGTGTTTTGTCTTCCAGGGCCTCTTTCTTGAATGCAACGGGTTGTTTAATTTTCAGGGGAGGGGAAGCTGGATGAGGGAAGGGGCTTTAGTGTGCTGCGTGTGGGAGTTTGTTTGCTGTGGTCCTGGTGGTAGCTGGCTTTTTATTTTTATTTTTAGCCTAGCTCACACTACTTCCTTTTAGATGCTGAGATAAGTGTTCATTATTAGTGCTTACAAATACTGAAATTATTCACAGGTGACAGTTGGAAAACCTACTGTAGGCTGTCCTAGAAGTTGGAGGTCCCTGAGAAATCCGACAAGGGGCACAGAGACCGGCTCCCTACCCACAGGGCTGCTTTGGGACCTAACAGTGTAGGCAGCGGCTGTCCTCACTGCTGCATGCGCTCGGTTCCCCCACCTGTCATGTTTGGAAGCCTTCTGCTGTCCTCCCACTCCCACCATCCAGTGCTATTCTCCATTGCCGTCTAAGGCCTGGGCTCAGCCTTGCTCCTTCTTTCTTTTAGGTTTGAGAGGGCAGGCGAGGCTCCCATGGAAACTGTAAGTCACAGTGCTCATGTGTGGCCTCTGAGGACCAAACCTGAAATGAGCCCCTGCTCTTGGCTGGCATTTGACACAGATGGCGAGTAGAGCAATTACACGCCTGACTGGTGGGGGGTTCGTCTAATCCTGTATCCTGCCACGTGTAACAATTTTTATTAACCCAAAACTTTCATTTTTGCTAACCTGCTCTTGAAGGATGCTGGTGATATATTGAAATACGAAAAATTCCGTCTTTTGGCAAGCACCTTCCAAACTTATCCGATTTATCCCTTTGACTCTTCATAGGAACATAAACATATCTTTCCAAATTAGTGGATGTTTGAGCCAGGAAGCTGATTCTAGAACTTTCTCGGGCAATATAGCCTTGTAGTTTTTATAGGTAACTTTAAAAAGTGTATTACTTAAATTATTCCTGAAATAATGTAATTTCTTCTTCTCTCACAAGTAGTGATGAGTGAGTGACTCTCGAATGGTAAGAACTGAATAGAAGAGAGGCAGTCAATTGCCAGCTTGGTCTAAATCCACCAGAGGGGTCCTTCTTCAGCCATTTTAACCACGGGCTTCTGTCACACAAGTAGAGGACAAGAGTGCAGGCCAGGAGGCAGCTGTGACAAAACTCTTCTTGGGAAGCACTGCATTTCATTCTCCCACTAAGACTCCACTAAGCATATCGTTTAAGCAAACTTGTTTATCTGATTTCTCAGGCAGTGGAGAGTGGGAGGAGGCGGCAGTTACTGGCACGTGACTGATGATAGCAGAAGCTGGAGTGTGACAGCCTGATGGCAGAGGGGAGATGGGGGAGCCCAGCGCAGGGAGGAACACGGGTGGAAATCTGTTCAGCGTATCTGTGTGAGAGGCCTGGGTGGAGTGTGTTCTACTGTAGTAGATTTTCAGAGGAAAAATGGTTACATTAAGTTGCTTTGTTCCTCTAAGTTATAGCTGAAGTTATTTGAAAAAAGCAACTATGCCCTAAAAGTACGGATAGTTCATGGCCAGGTAGTGTGTAGAGTGGCAACACGTCACATGAAGGTCATGGTACACTGTGCCCATGGTCCTGCTGCTGGGGGGGGGGGCTCATGTTAACAAGCTGAGATCTAAAATGTGTAGCTCATCATAGTTGTTAAAAAGTGCCTGAATAAATTCGGTAAGTCCTCAGGCAGCCCTGAGGACCTTAGGGTCTGCTAACCTAAAAGAAGTCCATACCTAACATGTATTTAAGCTGTTGTATTTTCTCTTGCCCCAGTTGCCATTATAATTGCCATTCTAATCCAGTTAGGAAAGTGCTTGATGTATTTGACTTTCTTGTACACGAATGAAGATTTAATAATCAAGACCCAACATAACAGAAACGTGCGCTAGAAACAGTAGTCAGGATTGTGCAAAGGTATCACTAAGGTCTTGTGATTCATGGGGTGCAGTTTCTGGAAGCCCAGAGTTTGTCTACTTTTTGAGTTTAATTGGTTTTTTCAGATAACTATGGCTGTAGTTTTTAAAGAATAGAGAATAGTAATAGGTACACAAATCCAACTTATTAGTCTCGTCTCTGAATTTGGCAGTGAATTTTCCTTTAGCCCCTCCGTGTTATCTATCACAAAGTTTAGATATCTGTAAATTTAAAATGCCGCTGCAGGAGGCAACAGGGAGGAGAGAATCGTGTTCATAGTTTGGAGTCCACGGATTCTTAGAGCAGCAGTTCTGTGTTGAGTGGTCCCGTGAACCTCTGAACTGGTACACGGCATTGGTATTTACTGGTGAGATTTAAAAAATTTTTTTGATTTTATATTTTCAGAATCTCAAGAATATCCTTCAGTTGGAAAAAATATACTGAATGCATTGAACTTGATGTTAGCCACTGGAGTTATGCATAATCCTGTCATTTTTGCCTGTTTAGTGGTAGCCAGGGTAGACACGTTGTTCCATGGCGCTGGTGGCCAGGCTGGGGTCCCTGGGATATGCTGATGTGCTGACTGACCCCAGTGCTGTCCCACCCAACCCGGTCCCTGTCCCGGTCACTGACTCCATGTGGCATGGGGAATGCACATGCTTTCTCTGGGCCCGAGTCTCCCTCTGTAACTGGAGAGGCTTAGACTACACGGTCTCTTGAGAACCTTTTAGTTTTTAATGGAGCCCAAATCGATGTCCCTTGAACATTTTCGTCACTTTGTCCTTCAGCCCCCGTGCCTGTTCTGTGTTGTTTCCATGAGCTGTCTGAGTGGCCTGTTCTCTGTGGTTCTCTTCTATACACGTTCCAGTTCCAGTAGGCTTGTGGAATGATTTTTTTTTTACAATCTTAGTGAATTGGAGTAGATGCATGATGTAAAGTCTTGCTTTTATAACTTGTAATCAAAGTTTATTTTCAGTTGACTTTGTTAGTTTGGATACATTTGATGCCAAGCAAATCCAAGTGCAAAGTACCTGTTTGTCTACTTGCCTTACTCTGAGTTACACTTTGGGGAAGAGGGTGCTGACCCCAGTCTCTAAGACGGAAAGTTCAGGGACTTTTAACACCCCCAGGGCCATGGAACTACGTTGGCCTTGGGGGAAACACTGTCCCCAAGTGCAGGCAAGATAGGGCTCCAGGATATTGTGCATAGGAGGCTCGGGGCTGGACCTTTCACCTAATTGCACTCAGCTGGGCTCTGCGGTGGTGGTGGTGGTGGTGAGGCTTCCTCCTAGGACTGATCATTCAGAGCCGAAGAGGAAGAAACCCCAGGGGCCTGGCAGCGAGGTCTACCTGGTGCGCTCTGACGGGTAGGGCAGGCAGACGACGTGAGAACAGGTGCAAGCATGGCTGCGTTTCACCTGTGCTGAAAGTGGAGCGTGAAGAAAGGGCCCAGGTCATTTTATTCTCTTGGGAAGTATATTCCTCCGAGGATGCCCTTCCGAAATCCACCTAGGGCGTGTCTGTATATACTGCACGAAAGCTCCCTCTCAAGAGTCGAACTGTCAGAAGTATAGCCTGATAATTAATTATCACGTTCTTTTTTTTTTAAATCCCCAGACGTCTGTATTCTGCACAGACTTGCATTTCCACCGTCTCGCTAGAGTTCAGAAGTTGGAGCTGCCCTGGCAGAGGCGGGGCTCTCTGTCTCCAATGAGGCGCCTTCCGTGGCGGGCCAGCCTATCGCCTTTCGCCCAGCGCTCCTCTGTAATCCAAGCAATAGCCACGCAGCCTGTTTTATTGTTTGTGGAGTCCTGCGGCTCCGGAGAGCTTGCTTCCCAGCCTGAGAGAGGGCAAGTGGGCGGTTTATGATCCTGCGCTCTGCCGGGACAAGTGAGCTGAACCCTTTGATTTCTCCTGAGTAACTAGTGTGGGTGAACTTTAAACTGGGGGTCTGCTTGATGCTGATTCTTTATCTGCAGGGCCAGGGTTACCTCCCTCTGCACCCAGACGGCTGGCTGTCTGCCCTCGTGGGGAAAGATGCCTGGGAGAGGCGTAGGATTACAGTTTGGGATGGCAGGGACACACCGAAGAGCCCCAGTGCCTTGCTTCTGGTCTTCAAAGTCCTGACAAGTGTGCCTGAAATGAACACCACGCTCCGTTTTTAAAACTGTATTTATTTTTACTTTGTAATCTTTTGGCTGTGAATGTCCCTGCCACAGAAACTGAGTACCAACATGTGGCTAGGGTAAAACGTTTTTAAAAAATGCCTCCGTCCCTCAATTTTCCTCTTCATTTTCATCTGGTGACACCGAAGCAGCCTTTTGCATAATGCAGTGCCTGACTCTCAACATTGTCTGAGTGAGGGAAGCAGCGGGCTCCTCCACGGACCTGGGCCGATTTAAAGACCAGAGCTTTGTGTCTGTCGGGCTGCCCTTTGTCTCTAGCAAATTTTGATGTGAAAGAAGATGAAAAAGGAAGGCTCTTCAGGTTCCTTCAGACTCAAGGCCAATTCAGGTTCGCTCTCACGGGCTGTGAGTTGGATAAATTTCTCCTCCTTGTCCAGGCAGACAAAGAGGCTGTTCCGTAGTGATGGAGAGTTGTCAGTGTGTGGGCAGCAGGTGGACGCAGACGAGAACTGGATATACAGGACGCAGCCCCGAAAAGGTGACTTGATTTTTTTTTTAAACCTTTAAAAAAGTTTGTTATGTGGAATTCTTTGTTTCTGTCACCGATCTCCTGTCACGAATTTTGCTCCATTAAGAATTTCCTTTGGTTTGTTTTCATCTTGGGATTCAGGGTCATTCATTCGTTTTCATGTCTACAAAAACGCTTCTCCAGCTAGATTTAGCTTGTGATCATATCCTTCCAAGAAGGATAAATTAGCTACTATTTGGCAGCCATCTGATACATGTGCTCATGTGACTTGTGTAAGTAAAATTCAATGCAAAACCACCATCCGGGAGGGGATCTTCGGAGCTTACAGCTTGAGATTAGGATGGGCACCCTTTTCTGCATCTACAGAGAGAAACTTTGGAATCAGGGATAGCCTTTTTGCATCTTTCTTCTGAGAAGATTAGGGAGTCACATGAATGCTTGAATTAGACAGGTGTTGGATGTGACTCGGAGAGGAATGAACACACAAGGCTCTCTTATCTTTGATAGCTCGGCCACAGAGTTTTTGGTTTTCTGTCAAGTTCTCTTTCAGACTACTGTTAATCTCTGTTCAGAGGGTTAGGGTGTTCTGCCTCCCTCAAAGGTAAGGAAAATGCCAGTCCTGCTGGCAGAGAGGGGAATAGTTCAATATTTTTAAACACTTTTTGTTTCTTATGTTTGGAATTTCTGAGTTCTTCCTCTTAGCACGCTTGCTGTAGGCACTGAGCCGTTAAACTCTAAAATGGTTTCTCCACTCAGCGCAGTGCCAAAGCCCAGCAGGGAAGCACTCTTCGAGTGTTACAAAGGAGCCGGGTCCAGATGTTCCCAGTGGCCGTGTTTTCCCTGTTTGTCACATTCTTCCTGTGTCAAGAGAAACCTTGCAGGAATCTCTCCGTTCTCCCCCCACTTTTGGGGAACAGAACTGCTGGAACGTGAGGGAATCAACTAAGCTAGATGTGTGCTTACGGGTGCAGTGATTAAGCTGGGCGGAAGGAGAATGAAGTGCAGCCTCCTTTAGGGGTGATGTGTGTTAAACCCTTTGTGCCTGCCTGTTAAGTATGGTTCAGGAGGGACTAGTTAATGGTCTTTTGAAGATGTCACTTGTTCATTATGTCAACAAGGTGGTCAACAGTGGTCTACTGATACTGAGCTAAAAAATATGGCTTTTTTAGTTCAGCTGCTGCATAACTGCCAGGCGTGGAAAAGGCGTTTGTGCTTTCTGGCTGGAGCTGTGTAGTTCAGTAAGTCTGTGAACTTTACTTTTCTAAATCAGGAATAAGCTGTGGTTTTGGTAAATGGTTGGGTTGTGATGTTTGAAGGGTGGATATAGTGGTGCTGTGGCTGCAGGAGGGTGTAGCTTTGATTCCTTTGGCCGTGGCTGAAGGGTGCTTCTTAGGACTTGTTTTGCTTGAAATCAACCACTGCCAAGATTCTGATGTGCCCTCTGTACCTGGGAGCGAGCACCTTGAGGACTTTCACTGTGGATGGTCCATCTAAATTAACAATACAGGGAAACCATTTTAGACTGTGTGTGTGTGTGTGTGTGTGTGTGTGTGTGTGTGTTCGTTTTAGTTGGGAAATGCAGCAAGTACTGTACACTTGACTTGTAGAAAATAAAGAAGTCATTGTAAAGAACAGGGGCAACTTGTAAAGGGAAGGGAGGACTTATTTATGGAACAATACGAAAGACTGTGCCTTTCATCCCTTCATGTAATGGGGGATACAGTACCTCCTGAAGATAAACGGAGACATAACAGAATGTATAAATTTATTTATTTTTTCAAAATAAATGAGCATGAGTAAGTATCCCTTTGGCATAGGGAATTAGGGAGAATCCTTAAAAGCTGCCTATGTATCAGAATTTATGGTGTTATACTTTGCTGTCACATTTGACAAAAGTGAATTGGCTGCCACCTTTGCCATGCTGTCTCGGGGTGTGGTGTAACAGTTGGTTCTTATTCCACACGCTTCTTTCCTTTGGAGACATGCAGAAGTGATTTGTTTACACTAGTGAATCTGAAGAGAAAAAGTCTCTAAGAAAAATGATGCAAACTGAAGTTTTTTTCTTAGGAGCATCAGATAAGATTAGGCTATAGCAGGGATTATTGATCAGGCTAAGGATGCCCAGTGGCACAGTAGCATTTGGTTGCAAATGCACTTGCTCGGAAGACACACTGGTCTGATTCAAACGTGTAGCATCTTGGATCTGGCAGCTTAGACCACATGTGACCAAATCCACTTTCCTTTTTGTGTAGCCCCTGCTCCCTACTACCTTACAAGAACTTTGTTTTTTATTTACACAGGCCACTGATCCCCCCAACACCTGTCAGGCCTGACAGCTAGCATTGGGGCGACTGTTGCCTAACAAGTCAGCCTTGCACTTTTATGGGGTCTGGTCTATGAGAAGCCTGGACCCGTAGCCTCCTGACTCCCCTTCTATACTAGAAGCTGCTGCAAGGCCAGGCTGCTATCTGTTTCCTAACCGCCGTCTCCAGGTAATACTGCCTTCACAATCAGCCCCCGGAGTCCCTGGGATCAGGGTGATAGCATGTTGTATAAGATACGTGTTCATTTTATAAAACAGACAGGTCCCCCACAACCCCAGCACTGGAGATGGAACCCAGGGCCTTCACGCTGGAGTTATATCCACAATCCTTTTTAACAATTTTTATTTGGAGTCAGGGTCTCTTTAAGTTGCTAAGTTGCCCAGGCTAGACCTGAACCTGGGATCCTCCTGCCTCAGCCTCCCGGAGTGCTGGGATGATAGGCATGTGCCACTATGGCTGGCCCAGGATTTTTTTAATAGTGAATTTCTATGTTAGATTGCTTATCAGTAACATCACAATACAAATTTTAAAGTGGTTATTTTTTATTAGTATATGTTTGTGATATATAATAATTACATTTGTTTTTGGGAAAAATATATATATTCGTAATCATTTTTGATCCTCTTTCCCTCCCTCCCTCCCTCCTTCACTCTCCGTCCCTTAAACCCTTCCCCATCTGTTCTTGTACATGTCTGTCAGTACAGATTTATAGATTTATAATTTGACTTTGTCACTTATACTGACAAAAGCTAAGGATTAAATTACAACGCTTCAGGTTTCTTCGGAGATTCTTTTTTTAAGGTTAGAAGTGATTATTATGTATTTTCCTAATAGACTACTTGTCCTGAGTTTAAAATATCATCAGAAGACATGTATTGATATGTCCATGTTCAAGGCAATCACCAGCAAGTGCTTACACTTTTCTTCTGTTGCAGTACAAGCTTCAGACCTCTCTTGGATCAAAGCTCTTACTCAGGGAGGCAAGAATAAGTTGAGTAACAGTAGTGATCGTTTCTTATATTTTCAGTGCGATAGACCGCCCTAAAATAGAAGGTAATGTTTTAACCCTAAAAAGCAAGTATCTTCCGAGTGTTAAAGTCAATTAATCATGAGTTCTTCCTTTAGATGGCTGTGTAGTAAAAAGTAAGAGTGTGGTCGTAGATGAGGCCATGTGTATTTTCCATTTGGAATTGTGAGAGCATTATTGGAGGAATTCTTAATGAGTACTATGTGTGAGATACAAAGACACACAGCCCACAGACCCCGAATTCATAAAATTCATACTTCTCACACAAGACATCCAAAGGGGAATTTTAAAAAATGAAGGATAATTGTGGAAAAGTGTAACCTGAATGCCTCGGATGACTTTTATCTGGAACATTTTCATATTCTGCATGGCATTCTGGCTGTTAAACAGTATTTAATGAGCACTCCTTTCCTAGTACTGTAGAAAGTTCTCAGGGAAAACTAATGACCAGTAGTATTTATTCTGTGCTTCCCTTTTCTTGTTCGGTCAAAACCAAAAGAAGTGGAATACTAATGGGGCGCCCTCGCATTGAGCAGAGCATATTTTGTTGTTTCCCAGGCTCTGCGTTTATCTGGGCAGAGGCGTGATTGATGATCCTGGTATTGGCAGGTCCCAACATCCTCGGGGTACTTGACATGCAAAGCTTTGTTTGAAACAATGTCTCCATTCTCTCCTTCTGGACTTTATCAGCCAGATTTAGTAACTACCCAGGTTGGACTCATTTGAATTTCAGTGCCTTTCCTTCCCAGTGACTTCAAAAATGCCCAGAGATGGGGCTGGGGATGTCGCTCTATAGTACAGCATGCACCCAGCATGTGTGAGGAGGCCTTGGCTCCAGTCTCCAGCGCCCCTAAAAGAAAATGTAAAACAGAAAACAAAACAAAAAAAGCCAGAGGATGGGCTTAGTAGGTATCAAGGATAATAAATAATCCATACACCAGATAACCAATCCTTGAACATGGGAAATGGTTGTAAGTAATTTCATTCCAATTTTTTTCCTAATAAAATAGTTGCAGAAAATAGGATCCTTTTGCACAATTAGATTAATGATGACTTCAGACATCATAGTGGAGAAAAATGACTTACATGACCAAAAAAGCAGCAAGTTCAAGATCTTGTTTCCATATAAATAACCATGCTTTATTTTTTTGTAGTAAAATCTTTAAAATTGTCAGACTTAAGACTAGTTTCTTTATGGTATTAAGGAAACCTAAAATATTTGGCAAATATTGTTAAGGTATCCTTCCAAGTTGATGAGTAAAACTAAAATAAATAAGTATTTATTGTAAGGGTCACTATAAGTTGGAAAAATGGGATGTTTTTCCTAACAAAGGAGATAAGAAGCACATTCTCTGTGCAGCGTTTTTTAGGGTTTTTTTTGTTTTGGTACCGGGGATTGAACTCCGGTCCTTGCGCTTGTGCAGCAGGTGGCAAGTCCACTGAGCTAAATTCACAGACCAAGTGTTTTTCTTCTTAATGTCCTACAGAAGTTGACATTCTGTGAAAGAGACAAGCAGTGAATGCCACTTAATATTTTATCTGGACCATTGAGACTGCCCTTGATTAGCCTTTGATTGTTTTTTTTTTCTTTAGAGGTTGGTGCTCTGTATTGCTTCACTGCCTTGCTTTATTCCCAAATGCCCATTCTTTTGGGTAAT